CGGCAGCGGCAGTTCAGCGGCAGGTCCTTCGCTCCTAGAGGGAGTGAGGGACCTGCCGCCCCCGAATTGCCGCAGGTGCTGCCCCTCTCCCTTGGCCGCCCCAAGCACCTGCTTGTTAAGCTGGTGCCTGGAGCCGGCCCTGTATAGCACCTTTAGATGCTCGCTCTCTCCATTCAGCCTGTTAAATAAATAAATTAATGGAGATATCCTATCTCCTAGAACTGGAAGGGACCTTGAAAGGTCATTGAGTCCAGCCCCCTGCCTTCACTAGCAGGACCAAATACTGATTTTGCCCCAGATCCCTAAGTGGCCCCCTCCAGGATTGAACTCACAACCCTGGGTTTAGCAGACCAATGCTCAAACCACTGAGCTATCCCTCCCGCCATGTTCTTCCTTGTTCATTCAATTCTGCCTCCATCCATGGTTTACAATGCCACAATCACTCCCACTGGGGTTATCTATGGATTTTGACAGCATAGTTAGCATCACCACTATGGAAGCAACTATATCATCACAGTCTACTATTAGTGACATCATAGTTCATCACCACCGGAGTGACAGTAGATTAACAATGGATGGGGTCATGGATGACTATATCAAGCAAGAGGAGGAGGTTGATTAGATATTGACACACCAGTTCCCCATGAGGTAAAGGTATGTAGCAGTCATATGGGATTTTCCAGAGCATGGTGGGCATCAGTGAAACTACATGGGCCTACCTAAGACAGCTGCTTCAAGAATGAATGCAGCACTCTCAGCTATATACCTCCCAATGCTATGGCTGAATATCACTAGGGTAGACTCATGAGAATAGGGTCTCACTACCATCTTTCACTTTGTAGGCTCCTTCAAATTACCTCCCTTCCCACACACATACCCCATTCCATAAAGCTCTTCTCTCTCCTCTGCCTGCCCAGCTGTTAGCAAGACCTAACTGAGATCCTGCCCTCAACTCCAGGGCCTGGCCAGCAAGAAAATGAGACACCCCACTTCCCCCCCACCCCCCTCGGACAACAGAAGCTTCAAGCACTTACCCATTGATGGAAGGCTGCAGGGTCTGCAGCCGGGTTTTAAGCAGATCTAGGGGCTGGAAGAGAAGGGTGGAGCAGGTCCCACTGATGGAACCACACACAAAGGCCTTTAGCACTGGATGCATCTGAAAGAGAAGACCTGGCTTTAAAAAAAGTCTTATATGAAGACTTAACTGGAAACAGCGCAGGAGGAGATGAGTATTCACTAGTTCTGTGGGTGATTTCTGAAGACGGGGAAGCATTTGGTGGATGAACACTGAGCAGTAGCAATTCAGTGTGCAGGAATAGTTGCCTAAAACCTTCTGAAGTGCGTACACAAACATTGTGTGAAAGGTGTTACAAGTGCTTTTTAATTTATCTTCATGGATTTCCTCTTCACTGTTGTGTACTCATATACTACAGAGGAGGGTGCAGTATAAGGACCTGAACAGAACAGAATAAAAGCATGTATTGGCATAAGAACATAATAGTGGCCACGCTGGGTCAGACCAAAGATCCATCTAGCCCAGTGTCCTGTCCTCTGACAGTGGCCAGTGCCAGATGCCACAGAGGGAATGAACAGGTAATCACAAAGTGATCCATTCCCTGTCACCCATTCCCAACTTCTGGCAAACAGAGGATATTGACACCATCCCTGCCCATCCTGGCTAATAGCCATTGATGGACCTATCCTCCATGAATTTATCTAGTTTTTCTTTTTTTTTTTGTTTTAAACTTTGTTATAGTCTTGGCCTTCACAACATCCTCTGGCAAGGAGTTCCACAGACTGACTGTGCGTTGTGTGAAGAAATACTTCCTTTTGTTTGTTTTTAAACCTGCTGCCTATTAATTTCATTTGGTGACCCCTAGTTCTTCTGTTATGAGAAGGAGTAAATAACACTTCCTTATTTACTTTCTCCACACCATTCATGATTTTATAGACCTCAATCATAGCATCTACACAGATGAAAGGGACAGCTGCAATGCAAAATACAGAATACACAGCAGGCTAGAGAAATCCAAAAATAATTCTTGCTCTACCAAGCAGATGCTAAAAAGTGAGGAGTTACTTGGAGGGTGTTGGGATGTGCTCAAAGCAAAGTACAATGTCTTCTCAGCAGAAGATTGAGAGACTGCGGAAATGCAGAATTAATTAATTTTCCTCTCTTTCTCCTCACCCCACTCCTTCAGCTCCAAATCTTGCTCCTGAGGCAGGTTCTTTCCTGATCCAAAGAGGACTTAAGCATAAGCCACAAAGCAAGCCACAGGCTTACTTTAAATAAAACCACCTCACATGATTCCCAAGAAACAGAGAGCTCCTGTGCCCTCCGCACAGAGCCACGTCAGAGAACACATCCTACTAACATAACGTTGCCGGATACACCAGAGAACCTCATGACTGGCGTTCATGTTTTCAGCTTCTCTTGACGTGTGGTTAGCTGTAATAATAAGTCTTTTATATCCAAGTGGTTTCTAATATTTAGTTTAGAACATCTCTCTCTCACTAATGGATATCACCAGACTCCCATGTGAGGCTCCCCAAGCATTATCATCATTAGAGTATTAAACGAAGTACAGGCATAAACAATAAGCTTTCCCCCATTCTGTCTTGGCAGTGGCCTAGCCGAGGCATTACGGTAACTACGAGCTCTTTTGTGGGGAAAGGAAAAAGACTTAAAAGGCTACACACCATGCACTTGAGGTCCCTTAAGGACCTGGTTTTCCTGTACACCCTGTCTGGCCCAGCACAAGGCACTGGAAGAGAGCAAAGGGATTCTCCCCGCCAAGTACAGACCCACCCACTCCGCTTAGCCAGGACAGGAACATGCCCGGCTGGTCCTGGCAGAAGATCACAGCAGAGAGCTGGGGTCCCCCATCCACGTCCCGGCCCAGCCTAGCCCTGCTTAGCTTGGGAGAGGGGCTGGGATCGCAGGCCTGGAGCAGCGGTAATTTCACAGGCTCCGCCCCCAGCCACACAATCACTCTCCTCATTGCCACTTGCGGGCCCGTCCCGGACATTTACGGCAGAGGCCAACAAAGGCAGTGATGTCAGAGGCACCCCTCCGAAGCCAGCCAATGACGGTAGGAGAGCTCGAGCCAATCAGGAGAAGGGAGGGACCAGAGTTCTGTTAACTCTTTCCCCCCTGGTCTGAGCGGGAGAGGCGGCCGCCGCTACATGCCAGGCTCGCTCCAGGCCGGGCTATGCGGTTCAGAGCGCCCCAGGACAGCCTGTAGCACCCCGCCATACACACTGCGACAATCCTTAAATGCCCCGCACCCTCCTCTGCTCCTGCAGTGTCCCACAATACACTGCACTGCCCTGGTACCATTCACCACCCCCCTGCACCCATCTGTGTATGCTGCGTTACCCTCCAGCCTGTACCATGCAGCCTCCCCTCTGATCTCCTAGTGCACTGTCCTGTGCATCATGCAGTACCACACAATCCTCCCCATATACTGACACTCGACTAACAGCACATCCTTCCCCTACGCTGCATTCCCATCCATGAAAAGAACAGGAATACTTGTGGCACCTTAGAGACTAACAAATTTATTAGAGCATAAGCTTTCGTGGGCTACAACCCACTTCTTTGGATGCATAG